CCTCTCCGGGAGATGTTCAACCCCCGCCTGGACAAGGTCCTCTGCAGCCTGCTCTGGGTGACCCTGCTTCGGCAGGGGGGTTGGACTAGATGACCCACAGAGGTCCCTTCCAACCCTACTGTTCTGTGATTCTGTGATTCCTTTCCCTCCTGGAGCAGAGAGCTGGCAGAGCCTGCACTGCAGTCCCCTCCTGCACACCCCCAGGGCAGGGCAGAAGAGAAGAGGAGGCTGCTGTGCACAGCTGCACTGCACCCTGCAGCTACTGCAGCCTCCAGAGAAAAGGCAGTAGTGAGACTGAACCCTGCTCCCCAGATTCTCCCTGGGCCAACAATCTCCTGACCTGCAGCATTCCCGTGCAGTCTGACCTGCACTGCCTTTTGCAGGGCTCCTCACATACTTTTTCCCACTGTAAATACATGCATACATACTAGGTCCTCCTTAGCTCAGCTCCGTCCTCTTCTCAACACCTGCACCCCCACACACACACCAGCATCCTTGGTCTGTTGTACAGAAGACTAGAGGAAGGGTGAACACGCAGATGGAGCTGCTATAAGTATCTCCAATTAGGGGGTACATGGCATATGTAAAACAAATAGGTGAATGCATGTTGAGTGAGCGAGCAGAGGGAACAGGGGATTGAGTCTGACGACCGAGTGGGTGGATAGAAAGGCTGGGGAATGAATAGAGTTGCACACAGAACAGATAGGTATGAAATGGAAATGCTGAATGCCTGAAGTGGGTGTTAAGGGAAAACAGACCCGGTGCTTATGTAATATTATGCAAATATATATATTCTATGCAAAATAATGCACATTTATGCATACCATATGCACCTATGAAGGAGAGAAGGAAAGAAGGGAAGAGACAACTAGTTCAGAATAAAGGAAGGGTTGGCCTTTTTAGAAATGTAGTTCTGAATACAACTCAACTCTATACAGGCAATGGCTCTACATGTAATTTATGTATGACTTCCATTCCACAAAAGCTCTCTTTTAAGGATTTCAGTAAAATTTAAGTAGCGCACAGGCTTTATACTAGTCCTCTGAACAGCAGTAAACTACTTCTGTAGTTACTTCACTGACTTCTAATACTGTTAAAGTACTTAAAACAAATGTCAGCCTGCCAAATGGCGAGAGTCCACAAGTGTCCTTTCCTTACACAAAACAGGGCATACAAGTTCCACCCTCAGCTCATTCTGCTGGAGGAGAATGCCATCAAAGGAGGGTGCCTGATTTCTCTGACAGAGTGAATATGCATGACAAAGAATACGTATGTTTCTTTCGACAGTTTAATGCTGAAGTGAACCATGCACAGGATGCATCACCAATAATTTATGCAGCCAGTGTGACCCAATGATTTCTGTTAAAAAAGGAAATGCAGTTCTGGAGCACGCCATAATATTTCCATCGTTATGCTCTGTAATATACCACAATTTGCTTTTTTACAAAAGTAGATCCAGAAGGTGCAGATGAATGTTTCCGCGGAGTTGCCTCCCCCCTCCCAGCTCAACAGTCAGGGAAAGAAGTGTGATTCTGTAGAAGTGAAGTTTGCAACAGAAGCAGTCAGTAGGAAAAACAAACTCAACAATTCATTTCCTATTGCCACCTAGAGGATTCTCCTACCTAACTACAGCAGTCTGAATCACTAGTCTGATCTGCACCATCCCATTTATCTCAATGCATGCCTAACAGAGACAGATAGCATATGCTTCTATTGTAACAGAATAGAAAATGGGTTAAGATTATCCAGGCACAGATGCTGACTTTGATTTGTGCTAGTCTGTCCACAGGCAGCAGATGATCTTTCAGCAGTCAATGCCTGAAACAGCTATCTGTCCCAGATGGAAAAGAGCAAATTTTTAATACTATCTGCAATGCAAAAAAAAAAAATCCCCTGTGCTAATACAAGCAAGAAAATACAGCAGTGGCCTGCTGAAAATCACTGCCATCCCACATGTTTTCACACCATGTTGGTAACAGGCCACAAAGTAAATTCTTGTATCATCCTTTGAAAATTTCCATTTCGCTATTCCTATAAAATTTTGCTTAATCTTTCAAATTTTCAACAGCCTCGCAACAGAAAAAAAAAACCCCACTCAAGTTAAAAGCCTTCTTTCTACAGCATTAAAAATATTCCTCTCCCATCACTATTTGGGAAACCAATATGAAATTTCAGATACTATTTCTCTTTGCAGTCTGTATCAGTTCAGCAAAAATGTTCCCTGCCCTAACTTTGTAGAGCT